TAGGTTCTTGGTATTCATCACTTTGAATATTTCTTGCCACTCCCTTCTGGCCTGCATAGTTTCTGTTGAGAAATCAGCTGACAGTCTCATGGGTACTCCCTTGTAAGTAACTGACTGTCTTTCTCTTGCTGCTTTTAAGATTCTCTCTTTGTCTTTTGCTCTTGGCATTTTAATTATGATGTGTCTTGGTGTGGTCCTCTTTGGATTCCTTTTGTTTGGGGTTCTCTGTGCTTCCTGGACTTGTAAGTCTATTTCTTTCACCAGGTAGGGGAAGTTTTCTGTCATTATTTCTTCAAATAAGTTTTCAATATTTTGCTCCCTCTCTTCTTCTGGCACCCCTATAATTCGGATGTTGGTTCGCTTGAAATTGTCCCAGAGGCTCCTTACACCATCTTCATATTTTTGGATTCTTTTTTCTTTTTTCTTTTCCAGTTGGGTGTTTTTTACTTCTTCTTATTTCAAATCTGTATTGTTCAGATTATTACAGTTGTTCCTCTTTTTTGATTCTTGCGATCCTCTATTCTGCTTTTGGAACTCTGTATAATATTCTTCATTTCAGTCAGTGTATGCTTAATTTCTATTTGGTCCTTTTTCATATCCCCGAGGGTTTCACTAGATTTTTTGAGGGTCTCACTAAATTTATGTGTGGTTTCTAGAAAATTCTTGAAAAACCTTATAACCATGGTTTTGAACTCTATATCCAGTAATTTGCTTTCCTCCATTTCTGTCATTTGTGACCTGTTTCTTTGTCTCCACATTTTGGCTGCTTCCCTGTGTTGATAGAGTGGCTTTCTGTGCTAGGTGTGCTATAAGGCCTAGTAGCTCAGCTTCCCCAATTACCTGAGGTGGACACTCTTGGTGCACCCTTTTGTGGACTTTGTGCACTGTCTTGTTGTAGTTAAGCCTTGATTGTTGTAGTTATCACTGGGAGGAATTGACCTCCAGGCCAATTGGCTGTGAGAATCAGTTGTGTCTATGGTGGGAGAACTTCTGTGCTGGAGACACCCTTATGGGGCAAGACTTGCGTCAGTGGGGCTTTGGTGCTCACTGAGTCTGTCCCCTGAGTGTGTCCCTTATGGATCTGAGGAGTTGTAATCTGGATGGTCCCACTCTGACCAATGGGTACACTGGCACTTGGATCTCTAAGGAGGTGCTAATTTAGCCTCTGCCTGAGGCTACGCAGCAGGAGCTATGGGGAGATCTGCAGATTCCTCTTCTTTGTTTGGGATTTGGAGGTGCCCAGATGAGGCCCAGCTGTGAAGCAATGCAAGCTGCTGTGGGGCTTTGGACCTTCTTTTGGATGTTCTGGGTCTCTCTGACTCAGCTACAGTTTGTTAGGTAATTTTATATTGCAAAGGGCCAGGTCATTCATATACAAATGCCTCTCGCACAGCTTGGGTGGGACTGGGTCTTAGGGCATCAACAGGGTGGAGCAAGCAGCTATGGCTGCTCCTCAGTCCTACCCTAAGAGGACCCGCATCTCAGTGTCCCGGTAATTGCTGCAGGCACCTCTGAGAGGAAGCTGCCCTGGCGTTTCAACCGATGCCAGACAGTCCAGTTTCTCCCTGTGTGCGTCTGGGTCCCTAGAGACTCGCCCGGAACTGGATTTTAGAGGAGTTGGGAGCTTGAGACTCCCTCCTGATTCAACAAGACAACCGTGTCCTCAGTTGCCAGCCCTTTCCACGTGCGCCTCTCTACCTCTGCACTTTACTTCCTCATCTCCTCTGCGTCTCAGTGTGCTTTTCTCTTTCCTTCTGGTTGTAGCATTTCCACTCAGCCAGCCTTCCTGTGGTTCTGGATGATGATCATTTTGTCTTTTAGTTGTATTTTTAAAGTGATTGGGCAAGGCAGCAATTTCTGGTGTTTACCTATGCCACCATCTTGGTTTCTCTTCTCTAGTAGTTTTTTGATGGAGTATTTGGGGTTTTCTATGTACAATACCACATCATCTGTGAATAATGAGAGTTTTACGTCTTTTTCAACTTAGATGCCTTTTATTACTTCTTTTCTGATTGTTATGACTAGCGCTTCCAGTACTAGGTCAAACAGGAGTGGTGAAAGTGGGCATCCCTGTCTTGTTCCTGTTCTTAGGGGAAATGGTTTTAGTTTTTGCTCATTGAGTATGATGTTGGCTGTAGGTTTGTCATATATTGCCTTTATCATGTTGGCATATGTTCCCTCTATTCCCACTTTGCTGAGAGTTTTTATCAAAAATGGGTGTTGGATTTTGTTGAATGCCTTTTCTGTGTCTATTGATATGATCATGTGATTTTTGTCTTTCAATCTGTTTATGTGAGGTTTCACGTTTACTGATTTGCAAATATTGTACAAGCCTTGCATCCCTGGAATAATCCCACTTGATCATGGTGTATGATCTTTTTAATATATTGCTAGCCTAGGAGCATGTCCATGAAACATCCACTTACTCTGCAGCCATTTTTAATCCTCTAGACCAGTGGTTCTCAACCTTCTGGCCCTTTAAGTACAGTTCCATGAGGTGTGACCCAACCATAAAATTATTTTCATTGTTACTTCATAACTGTAATGTTGCTACTGTTATGAATCATAATGTAAATATCTGATATGTAGGATGGTCTTAGGCGACCCCTGTGAAAGGGTTGTTCAACCGCCAAAAGGGTCACAACCCACAGGTTGAGAACCGCTGCTCTAGACTATTTCTCTTTTATATAATAGTTTTAGTTTTTCAGCAAAATTGGCACCCTCTCCCACCTTCTCTTTGAGGTTCTACAATCTGTTCTGTGTTTCTATGTCTCTGGAACTTTTTGGAGAGTTCTTATACACCCCTGCATCCACATACACAGCCACACCCATTATCAACGTCTGGCACCAGAGTAGTAAATTTGTTGGAATCAGTGAACCTACATTGACACATCATGATCACACAAAGTCCATAGGTTACATTATGGATCACTTTTGGTACTTTACTTTCTATGGTTTTTTAAAATATAAAATGACATGTATCTGCCATTATAGTGTCATATAGAGAAGTCACTCTGCTCTGCCAATTTATCCTTACCTCCCCCTAACCCCTGGCAATCACAGATCTTTTTACTGTCTTCATATTTTTGTCTTTTTAAGAATTTCACATTGTTGGGATTATATAGTATATAGCTTTTCAGAATGTCCTTTCTTCAACTAGTAATATGCAGTTAAGATTCTCCCATTCTTTTTATAGCTTTAGGGCTCATTTTTTTCACATACTGAATAATATTTCATTGTATAGATATACCATCATTTCTTTATCTGCTCACCTAATGAAGGACAGCTTGGTTGCTTTCCAGTTTGGGCAATTACAAATAAAACTGACATAAACACTGTTGTGCAGATTTTTGTGTGGACATAGGTTTTCAACTCATTTGAGTAAATACCAAGGAGCACGATTGCTGGATTATCTGGTAAGGGTGTGTGTAGTTCACTAGGATTCTGCAAAATGACCATATTACTTTGCATTCCCACTAGCAATGTCTGAGGGTTCCTTTTGCTCCACAACCTTGTCAGCATTTGGTGGTGTCAGTGTTCTAGGTTTGGCAGTTCTAATGGGAGAGTAGTTGTAGCCCTTGTTTCTAAAATCTAGGCATTGATAATATACATTTCCCTGTAAGCACTGATTTAGTTGCATCAAATACGTTTTGTTTTTGTTTTCATTCATCTCAAAGCACTTTAAATTTCCCTTGTGATTTCTTCTTTGACCCATTGTTTATTTAGGAGTCTGTTGTTTCATTTCTGTGTATGTGTAAATTTCCTAAATTTCCCTTTGTTATTGAATTCCAATTTCATTTATTTATGTTCAGGTAAAATAATTTGCATGGTTTCAATTCTCTTAAATTTGTTGAGATTTGTCTTATGGGGCATCTTATTTTTGCACAGAAGTTAATTTGATACCTGCTTGACATCTCCCATTGGATATCTCAAAGAAACTTGACGATTTTGCACAAAATCACACCCTTGATATTCCACCCCCCATTCACTCCTCTTCCAGTATTTCCATCTCTGTGAAGGTGCCACTATCCCATGCATATCTCTGGCCTGAACCCAAGATCATCTTCTATATCTCCAACTCCCTTTCCCCATAATTCTAATCTATTGGATTTTACTTTCGTTTTAGATCTCTTAAATCCATTCACTTTTTTCCATTTCCAAGGCTGACACCATAGTCCAAGATACAACTATTTCTTGCAGAAACTATGGTAACTTTCCTTAGTGAAACCTCTCACCATCTTTATTGGAAAACTGAAACTTTCCTATGAACTGGTTTCCCAATCTCTACTGTAGCTCTCCTCCATTCCCAGTTTTATATGGCAGTCTGTTTCTACTTTGTAAATGTACTGATTTTATCAACCTTTTGATTATAATCACATTGCATTAGAAAAAACAACCCCAAACTCCAACAGGGCCTTGCATAGACAGTCTTACTTCATGACCTCTGAAGCCTCCTGTGCCTCCTCTGCTCTCCATCCTCCAGCCTCACTTATCTGCTTTCAATCCCATGACAGCCCATCCTCCCTCCTGCCACAGGGCCTTTGACCTTTCTGCCCTCCTGCTTCACCTAGGTAAACCCTCTGTATTCTTCACATGTCCTTTAATATGCACTTTATAAGGTAGTTTCCACTGCAGGCCCTTATCTGGGTCTGTAATGACATATTTTTTTTGTGTGGTTAATGTCAGTCACTTGCAAGTTCTGTGGAAATAGAATCCTGTCTGTGTTTGCTTATTGCAATAGCCATGGTCAGAGAGGGGCTCAATGAATATTTGTTGGATACAAGGATTTTTCAAGATGATCACTTAGTAAGTTTTATAATGTCTAATCACTGGGATATACATCTGGAACTAATATAATATTGTATGTCAACTGTAATTGAAAAATAAAAAATGTTAAAAACATAAACAAAAACAAAGACCACACACCCATCCTAGACACAACTTCTACCTTGGGTCTCCTGTCCATATCTGTTTCAGATCAGAATCCAGGCCAGACTCACCTCAAGGTCGCCAGGCGGCAGTGAGGGCTTTTCAGGGCGTCACAAAGACTCTGTACTGCAGAGCAGCTCAGAGAGTTCCCACTCAGGTCCAGCTCCTGCAGGCATCCAGGGACTTTGAGAATAGAGAAGAATATCTGCCACCAGGAATCTGTAAACGGGCCCCAGCTGTACCTGAGGGAGAGAGAGGGACAGGGGAGATGTGACCTGTGTGTGTGGGTTCTTAAGTGCACACTGTGCTCAACATCATGGGATTTGGCCCCTCTGAGTGCCAGGCTGCCATGGGCAGGGCTATTGCCAGGGGTGATCAGTCTCTGGAACTGCCCCTCTGTTCCCACCACCCTGGGCTAATTGTCCCTCTTCCGTGTGGTTTCTCACGGTGCAGCCCTTGCCATTCTACACTGCAGTGCTCATTTAGTGTGTCTGTTTCTGCCTCAGTCTGGGAATTTCTTGTGGGCTGGGGCAGATTTTCATTTTTTTATTTTTATCTTTAGTGTCCATCATAGGGCCTGACAAAGACCTTGGGGATGCAGACAGTCTTCCTTTCATCAATACACACATGCCTTTCTTCCTTTGGCACAGATTTTGTAAAGTCCCAGTTTCCAGAAAGGAAAGGAAGAGATGGGAGGTGGGAACAGAACCTTGGAGAGGTGGTTTAAAGGTAGTTTTGTGATGGGATTTTTGTGTATTACTATATACTATACTGTTGTCCAGATTGGCTTGTGTGGGACCATATCCCCTTCCCAGGATAGCAAGACCGTAGAGAGGTTCCCCAGGAGAGAGATGGCAAAAGGGAATGTTCTAGGAGAGAACACTTGCAGGATGTGGGAGAGGAGGATGGGCTTTGTTTGAAAGTTATAGGAGAGACGGCCTTGTATAATTTCCACCAATTTAAATTCTACATTTCACACATTATTTAAGTGATTTTATTCACTCCCAAATAAAATAGATAAAATAGATTTTATCTATTTCAAGATGCAAACTGCCACCTCCATTTTATTGCCAGATAAACCCACCTCGATAGCCCAGTAGCACCTTGACCCAATATGTTCTCAACTCCATTCATCTTTCCCTTCAGGTCTGCAGACATTGAATTAACTGGTAAGTGGCTCGAGTCTATTACCCCTTTCTTTTTGGGCTGTTCTGCATTTTCTGTCCGACATAATCAGGGCCAGGCTCTGGGCTGTGACTGCACAGCCACTCCCTAGCCGACATCCAGTGCTGGTCAGGACACACTCCCCGGGAACCAGGTTTCCTGGTCCACCTGTCTGTGGGGACGCCTACTGGTCTGGTGTGATCACCCGAATGTTTCTGACGCTCAGGCGGAGAAGGGGACGCCTTTCTCTAACTTAGTGTCCATGGGAGATTAGACTCAAGGCCCACTTATGGGGAACACACAGTCGGCCATTCCCCGCACCACACCCCTGGGATGTCTTCTTAAGAATCTGCAGGCCCTAGGGTTCGCTCAGGACTTATGTCCCAAGTGCCTCATTTTCTATTGCAATACCGCTTGGCCGCAATACAAATTAGACAATGGGTCCCAATGGCCTGAGAATGGTACTTTTGATTTCCAAATTCTCATTGATCTTGACAACTTCTGCTGCCGGCAGGGCAGATGGCCTAAGGTCCAATATATCGGGCTTTTTTACACTCAAGGACACATCCTTTTCTCTGTAACAGCTGCTCTCTCTCACAGATTTTCCTTCCTCATGTTAAGCCTCCTGACCCCCCATCTCAAATCCTCCTCCTCACCACCATTTTGGTCCCGATGACCATCCCCCAGTCCCCCAGCCTACAGCTCCTCAGCCTCAACAGCCTGAGAGTCCGCCACCCTCCCCAGGGGATCCTACTGCCACCATCCTATCTCATACCCGCTCTGGAGCAAGTTTTAGGCTCTCTTCCTCCCCCGACCCTGGCACTAGCCTTAAAGTGCCCCCTTCGGGAGATTGCTGGTGCCAAATCTGGCTTCATGCCCAGGGCTACCTGAATATTCTCCACTGGCAGGCCCCTGCCCTCCCAGTCTGAGCGGATGCTGTCCCTACCAGGGATCCAAAGTGGAACTATCAGGAAGGGCAGACAGGTCACAGGTCTCGAGACCACATGGTTCTCTGCCTGCTAGAAGGACTGAGAAAGGCAGCCCACAAAGTAGTTAATTATTAAAAATAAGCAGAGATAACCCAGGAAAGACATGAAAATCCTGCAGTCTTCTTCTCTCACCTTACACAGGCCATGAGAAAATAACACCAACCTTGACCCTATTGGCCCAGAGGAACTAAACCCCAAAATGGACCTTTTAAACATGACCTTTAAGGTTTTTTTTTTTTTTTTAGAGGAAACAATCGATTTGTTAGTGCCTTTTGAGGTTTTGCCAGGAAAGTAAGGAACATACAGTGATGTTATCCCCAACCCCTGGGGCAAAACAAATACCAGCTTTCTCCCCAGTCCAATGAACGGCTGAGTCTACTTCAGCTCAGTGTTTACAAACGCAACAGCCACATGAGAATACCAAAATGCATTTAGTCAAAACCTAACCCCTTTTTAGATAAAATAACGTTTTACAACCATGTCCATCCCATTTTCAAACATATGCACATTTAGGTTTTGAGCCTCTAGGACACACACATTCCAGTTTACCTTCAAGTGGAGCACACTAGTCGAGCGCCTTCATTTCAGCTGCAGAAGGCGAGCAAACCTGAGCAAGAGATACAGAAGGGGCGGCTTCCCACACACCTGTGCTTAGGCCTCGAGCCAATCAGATCCCAGGGATCGAGCAAAGCCCGGCGCGCGTTCACCGCATTGGATGAATCATCAAGGTTTGTTTTGTTAATAGGCTCCCTGGAAGGAAATTCATTTGACTTGAAATTAACCTTGACTGTGTTTTCCCAAGACAAGAAAAAATGTGATTCTGACGCCCGGGTGGAAAGCACTATGTAATTTTACCCAGTGACTTAAACTGCTGTGCACCATTTGACCACCAGCAGCCCGGCTCCTCCCAGCACCAATTAAACAGAAAATGCTGAGACCATCAGTTTACACCGACGTGCCTGGAAGACAGACAAGACTCCCAGAAGCTCTGAAGCCTCTGCGGCTGCTGTTTTTTTAAATTTGTTTAAATCAAAGCTTTCACAACCTAACAGGCACGCCTGTTAAAAACATCCCCACCCAGATGTTACGTTTAGCGAAATGCTGTAAAAGAGCATCGGCATCCATGTTGTTAGGACCAGAGATGCAGAAGGGCCCAAGAAAAGGAATATTTTGAGTAAGTCCATGTTAGCATGACGAAGGGTTTCTCCCAGAAGTATTTGTTGGCTAAAGGATGACAGTCTTTTCTCTGTGAGTTAGCTGAGTATTGTGATCAAACTTCCCCTCTGAACCAAGCTAACCTGCCATCGAAAGATTCCCACTTTTGTGTCACTTTAAATATTCACTGCAGCCCTGGCCAGTGTGGCTCAGTTGGTTGAGCATCATCCCATGCACCAAAAAGTTGCTGGTTCGCTTCCCAGTCAGGGCACATGCCAGGGGCTGTGGACTAGATCCCCAGTAGGGGGTGTGCAGGAGGCAGCCCATGGATGTTTCTCTCTCACATCCATGCTTTTCTCTGTCTCCCTTCCCTTCTCTCTAAAATCAATAAAAAAAAGTTTTTTAAAAATACACTGCAATTGAATTTTGAAGCACTTGATTACAATTTTTAAGTAAATACAGTGGGATCATTTTCTTGACTTTTTTTTTTTTTTTTTAAGAATAAAAGACAGATTAAGAAAAAAGGATTCCATCATATTTTTAAAAAAATGTTATCCTGGTTTATTTTCCCATTAGATTTATCTATGGCTTCAAAGTTGACGTGGCCCTTGGATTTTAGGTATTTTCATGATTTAACAAGTTGCCACCTCATTATAAAGAGAGAAGGTAAATGTTTCCTGTCATATGTGGGACGGTTTACAAACAGTCTAAAGAAGTTGGTAACTGGTGTCACTCCATTTATATTTTCCACTGTTAAGTCTTGGAATTAGCATGTTTTAAAATATTTGACCAGGCAAGTATGTGTATACAACCAGGAACCAGCTTACCACGTCCCCAGGTAACTCAGGACTGGTCGCACACTCCCCTCTTCACCCAGAGCTGAGTGGCGATCCTTGTCTGCCCTTGTACTTGCACTTGTGCAGTGTAATGACTAGGTATTAAAACTCATGCTTTAAAAGCAAAAACGTTCACTTACGACACGTCACCAGGTACATACAAAGTGCAGACTGCAATTCTTCTCTGCCATGCTTTCCCTCCATAAAGTCACCGGTGAGGACTCAAAACACATCCTTAATACATTCAGAGTTCCCTACACTCGAGTCAGTGAATGTCAATTCTCCAATAGAAGCTCAAGAGAGAACCGTCAGACACAGAATGGACTCTAAATTAGAAATGGCCAAGGCTACCGAGACAACGCCATAGACACCCACTGATACGGGAGTCAAACACAGGTCACTTCTGAGCGTAGCTCATCCCAGATATTTTGTGGTTGTTAAGAAGGTATTTCGTTTTAATTTGGAAGCTGGGAGTCAGGCGTCCTGTTGCTAAGAGCTAGCCCAGGAGCAGCAGGCGAGCCCGCCTCGGGGACCACAGGGCTCACTCCTTGGCAGGCGGGAGCCCTTCCAAGTTTACTGCTGACTGACTCCCATTTGGGGGTGGTCCGCCTCTGGCTCCTCCTCCTCCACGTCTGCACTGTACTCTTCAAATGCGTCGTCGTCAGCATCCGGAAGCCCCAGTAAGGGTCTGAAAGACTTGAAGACTTTTTCCAAGACTTCCTGGAGCGTCTTCTTGCCGCAGGAGGAGATGTAGTCCTGTGCGAGCTGCAGGAAAGGCAGGCAGTCCTCGCTCTCACTCCACACGTGAAAATTGTCCCCGCAGCCGTTGTCCGGACACAGCACGTAGAAGGAGACGCCGGGGTCGGCGTAGAAATCCATCCTGCGCTCGGTCTCCTCCGTGGCGATGAGCTCGAAGGGCGTGTTGGAGCACCATTTCTCCGCGACGTCCGCCGGCTGCTGGAAATTCATCCTGCCCGCCGCGCCCTCGCCTCCTCGCCACCGCCACCCGCTCCCTCCCGCCCGCCCTCCTCTCCTCGGCGTCCTCCTCCCCGGCCGGCAGCGCGCGGTCCGCGGGCTCCCGGGCTGGCGGCGCCGGGCAGCGCGGAGTGCCCTGGTCCGGGCTCCTCCCGGCGGCTGTGTTTACATGCTGAGTCGACCTTTAAGGTTTTTAATGGTAGAGACAAGGAGACCCCAATCCAAAAACAAAAACGAGATCAGGCCAAGGCTGAGGCCAGAACGAAGGCCTTTCAGTCCCTAGCCACCACTCTCATAAACCCCAAATAAAGTGCCGGTCCTCCAACCAAGGGTGAGTCATGGGCTAAGCCTCCTCCGGGCCCATGCTTCAAATGCAACAAGAAAGTACACATGATCAAGTCCTGCCCAAATTTGAGACCCCGCCTGGGCCCTGCCCAAGGTGCTGGAGGGAAGGCCACTGGAAACCAGACTGTACTCTGGCCCCTCCAGGTCAGACCTCAGCAAGGTCACCCTATGGATCCGGTTTGGAGCTCCCAGACCTCCTGGGACTAGCCACCGAAGACTGAAGCTGCCCAAGACCCGAGAGAGCTCCACAGACTTACATCACCAGGACAGAGCCTCGGTAACGACTGTGGCAGGTAAGCTGATCTCCTTTTTAAGTGACACCGGGGCCACTTATTCTGCCCTCTTTAAATTTGCTGGGACCCATGTCCCCTCCTCAGTCTCTATTATGGGGTTGACGGATCAGTCTCACAGTCATTAGCTACCTCACCTCTACACTGCATCTTACTAAATACCCCCTCATCCACTCCTCTTGTCCGACAGGAGTGGTACACGCCTCTGTTACCATGGACTTTGCACGCTGTTCTAGTTATTGGATGGATATCTGTCTTCTCTTCCAGATTTGAGTTTGTAGTGGACAGGGCTGTGCTTTACTAATCTGTGATCTTTAAGAGCTGGTGTAAAATCAGTGCTTAATACACATTTATGGAGTGAATCATTTAAAGGGGAGATAGGCACCTCAAAGAACTAAAGGATCAAAACTGCCACTGAGGTGGGGAACCCGGATGTGGAAGTCAACAGGGTTGCTGGTGCTGGAGGGTAATTTGAGAAATCTACCCTGTCATACTCAGATAGTGGGTTTCAGCGGAGTCCCTGGGGCATCATTGAAACAAAGAGGGAAGTTGGTTTTGTAGAGAAAAAGAAAGACTCCTTTTCAGACAGACACATTCTGAGGTGACAGGGGAGAACTTAGGACCAATGTCATAGTCAACAGCCATCCGGGGGGTGCCTGAAGCAGCTGAGTGAGCTGTTGCATGAAGGAAGCATGTGTGAGGGAGAATCAGAGGCAGGTGGGCTGGGTGGAGGGCAGCTGACGTCAGCATGGGGGTGGAAGTGCACCCAGGAGAGAAGGTGGCCATTGTGACAGAGACAGGAAGAGAAGCAGCAGTGCAAGGCAGGGCCACAGCAGGCTGCCCAGAAGCAGGGAGGGAAGGTCACGTGGTCATATATTGCTGCAGAGGAACCTAGGTGGGCAGAGAATGGGGATCAGATTTGGTTGTTCGAAGTCACTGGTCACATCAATCCTTTAGCCCCTGGGCCATGCTTAGTGAGAGTGCCCCCAGTGGCCAGGACAGTGATACCAACAGAGGAGCTGGAGAGAGGAGAGAGGGGGAGCACTTACAGAAATGCACCAGAAATCCTTCCTGCTTGTCTGTGCTGTCCACCCTCATTCAGTTGAAGCCTCTTAATGTGGTGGCAGAATGTAAAGAAGAAAGTGAACAGCAGGAGCTCCATGTCAGTTTGGACACATAACCTCATTTCATTGAAAGTGAAAATATTTTTCATAAAGTTTTCATCCTGAATCTCATAAAAACAGTGCAGCAAATGCCAAGGATATGGGTCTAGGTTCAGATGCTTCTCAAGGACCTCACTCTTGGCCAACTGCAGCAGAGAGCAAAGCCTCTCCCGAGACAGGCTGCATTTGAAGATGCTCTCCATCTCTTGCATCCCCTGATCACTCAAAAGGCCAAACAGGAAACATGTGGTTGGTTCCCCAAATAGGTCATGCCTGTCATATACATCTGTCAAGTCTGTTATAATTTTGATGTTTGTAAAGTAACTACTTTTCAACACTCTATCGCCTAAAGCATAGGACATTGCTGCAAAGAACTCCTGGAAGCACAGATGAATGAAGCTGTAGCTCTGAGGGGTGGGGTGCTCTTGAAGAACACCCTTGTTTAAGAGACTGGAGATGTTGGCCCCATCTAACCCGTGCTTCCTGAAGTCCTCGGGGCTGAACAGAGTCTTTCCTTGACAGGTGCCTTCAGCAGCCAGAGAGCAGAAGCCTCTCAACTTAGTCCCGAGGGACTGAGCCTGGAGAACGTGGAAAAAGTAGTGGAGACAGAGGGCTGTGGTCGTCTGGGAGGTCAGTGAGAGTGGTTGCTCCTGCTTCACCTGCTGCTTCAGGCAAGTGCAGACCAGCCAGGACACCAAGGGCATGAGACACATGGTCAAGAGAGCCGGGTTGGATTCAACCAAGGTAAAGGCTCTAATTGCTTGGCTCTCATCTGTGAAATATTGGAAGAAATAGTCCTTCCTGGCCGACTCAGAGAATCCCAGGACCTCCACCCAGCGAGGATGCTTTAAAGAAGGAATGAGTTTTCTCAGAGCTGTGATCCGAGCTGTGATCAGCAGGGAAGCCGTGGGAAGTAAGGTTTTCTTCAGCAAACTGCCCAGCAGTGTGTGCACCTGCTGCTGCTGGCTCCAGTGTGGACAGAGCTCAGAACTCTGCCCCTTCAAGTCCCATTTTGGTTCATCTAAGTTATCAAGAATGAAGAGCAGCTGCTCTGGCTGAGACAGGATCTGCCCAATGGGAGCATCAGGAGCCGCCCAGTCTTTTGTGATGAGCTCAGTGAGACTCATGGTCTCGGACTGGGCCAGTTCTCTGCAGTTGAAGTAGAAGACATGCTTGAAGCGGTCCCTGAACAGCCAGCCTTCCTCCCAGGCTCTCCTCACCTGCCTGGCCAGGGTTGACTTCCCGATTCCAGCAACTCCATGCACCACAACAGTGGGAGGCTCCTCCTGGGTACTCAGGCCTGGGCCAAATAAGTCTTCGATCTCCATCAACTGTCTTTGTTTATCTACCACCTCATGATACCTTCTTCTCCTGAGCAGGAAGTCATAGCCTCTGTGTTGAGATCTGTGTAGAAGTAGCAGTTGTGTGAATTTTTGGTGCAAACACTCATTTCTCCATGACTGTGTGGGGCAGGAACTCTCTCTCCTTTGGTTCTGGTATTTTTCTTTGATTCCTACAGAAAGGAGAGAAATATGGAACATTTGTTAAATTGTTTCTCCCTTTATTCATTCCACAATTGTTTTTTGAACTCACTTGAAGCCACACACTGTGCTGGCTGCTGATACTGGTGCATTCTTTTCAGATCGTGGAGGAAATATGGGTTTTTGGGGAGAAGATCCCTGCTCAAGTTTTGACTTGAGCAAATAATTATCATAGTGTGATATTTCTTCCTTCTGCAAATATTAGTCAATGGCTAACACTGCCAGACACTGATTTAGAGGCTTGGGATAAAGAGTGAACAAACAGACACACCTGTTTGCTCTTATTAATTCCATGACCTGAGCTATTAGCCTCTCTGAGCTTATAATGTTTTATTAATAAATTGTAAGTGGTCATTGCTGAGTGAAGGAGATAATGGATGGTGAAACAGATACTATTGATCCCTGACAGAACTCTCTTTGCACCCACCACTGAAGTACATGCCAAGGATAATCTGTTACAATCACCTCAGGTTATCTGTCTGAGGGCTCTCTCCAAGGCAATGAGCGTGACAGGCCAGAAGCCCCAGGGAATTAAAGCTCCAGGATGAGTTCTTAACCCCTGACAGAGGCAGTTCCCTGTTCCCCAGCAGAGACATCTCTGACGTGTGTTCTCCATTGTCTCCTGAAGATCCCTAGTACTTTGAACCTTCGTTTCCCCACAATGCAGGTTTCATTGGTTTCCCCCTTCCCTTCCCACTCCTCTCTCCTAATGGTGCTTCCAGGGAACCAGTTCCTGAATAAGCCACCTGTTCTCCAATGTAGTGTCAGGGTTGGCTTCTGGGGGAAACCACCTGGACAGAGGAGGAAGTGGTTTGTGAAATGTGAGGACTGAGCACATGTCAGGGACTGTGCCCTTGGGAAGGTACCCAAGCTCATATCTTAGATTCCAAGTCGAGTTACTATTACATTCTCTTCCCTTCAGAATATTTTGAGTGACTTCTACTTTCTTCTTAGGTGAACGTTTGTGATGATACAAGTGACCCACCAGGGATCCTGAAGCCCAGTTCATCTTGGGAAACCTGCTGGACCTCCAGAGCACGTGAGCCAATTTCCATCCTTTGCTTGGTGAGAATAGGTTGTCAGGTGCCCACCCCACCTCTGGAATCATAATCTAATGGTCCACTTTTATTGTTTCTTGTGAAAACATTTCTGGCAAAGTGAAGATCTTCCGTATGGCCACTCTGCGTCATGATTATGGCCCACCCCACTCTGAATCTTATGATTGCCTGAGGTGCCAAGAGAAGGCTTAGGTCTTTTGGTGCAGTGGTCTCCAAAATATCCTGGTTTTAATGGATCTCCTTGCATTCCACATATCTAAATCCTCTTAATTTAGTAAAACTTTCAAAATTCCCCCTGTACCACCAATAATTCTAACAAGTTATATGTTAATTATGCTTTGGACCAGGGGTTGGCAAACTATGGCCAAATCTTGATGGCCAAACTGTGTCCTAAGAATGTTTGAAAAAGTCAAAAAAGAAGACTATTTCATGACATGAAAATTACATAAAATTCAAGATCTGCAAAGAAGTATGTACATCCAGGTACACAAAACTCATAGGTTCTAATACAGATTCAACTGTAAAAGGACAGCACTTATTACAGTATAATAAAATTGTCAAAAGTGAAAGACAAAGAGAATATGAAAGCAGCAAGAGAATGACTGATCACATACAAGGGGACTCCCACAAAACTCTGAGCAATTTTTTAGCAGAAACTTCACAGTTCAGGAGGCAGTACATGACATATTCAAAGTGGTGAAAGAAAAATAGTCAAGAATAATTTACCCAGCAAAGGTTCAGAAATGAAAGAGCTATAAAGGTATTCCCAGGTAAACAAAAGCTGAGGGAGTTCAACACCACTAGAGCTGACTCACAACAAATGCAAAAAGACATTCTCTAAGCTGAAATAAAGAATGCTAATTGGAAACATGAAAACAGGTGAAAGTATACATCTCATTGGTAAAGGTAAATATATAATCAAATTCAGAATATGCGGTGCGGTAATGATGGTGTGTAAATAACTCTAGTAGAGTGGTTAAAAGATAAAAGTATTGGCCAGTGGTGTGGGGCTGGGGTAGTAAGGCTGGAGCAAATCCTGGAGCTGGTGAAGGGGGGCATGGAGGCACTAGCACAGGACAGTAATGTTGGGATATGCAGTGGGTTATTGGATGCTGATCAGGCACCTGACTTTAGCATTGTAACAGCTTCAAAGACCATGTGAGAATGTGAGTGGATTGGCCCTATCACTTTAGACAGTTCAGAGTTTATATGTTCCTTTTGTACAAGTGATTTCCCAGATTACAGTTCTCTGCTGAGATTGAGTGGGATTTGAGAATTTGGGAAATACCTGCAGCTTTGTAACTTCAGAGGTGCAATCAGCTAAAACATTCACCTTTTGAGGAATTGTGTTTTGCCAGTTATCGCTCCTAACTGGGTGCCAAAGAAGGGCTCTGTGAAAGATGACAGAAGTTATTGTTATAGCCAAGGAGACTATATTGTCCAACAGGACCAGGAACTTGACATCAAGAAGAATTGGTGTATGTGGCTGCTGAATGACTCCAAGATGTGATGGCGGGTGAGGATGTGGCTAGCCAGACAAGACATGGTGTTGTCCAACTATGTGGAGAGGAAGAATGGCCTGAAGAAAGCTCCCTCATGAAGAACCTGAAGGACACACTAGGCCTCGGCAATACCAAGACGATGACCAGCATGTGGGATTGTCCCTAATACCCAGCACCAATGCTAAGTTCCCTGACAAGGCGGGGAGGTGGTGCCAACCGCATCCAGGACCTCAACATCCTGGACTTTGAAAATTTGCCTACATGATGGAGGGACAGATGAACTAATCCTGGTAAAGGCGCCTGGTGTCACTGTCATGGAGGAGTGCAGCAATGGCTGGCGGTGTGGCAGCTACAACTGGCCTTTGGGCTTGTTCCCCTAGAACGACTTTCTGAGGAGGTGGACAAGCTGGCCACCGAGTCCCCCAGCTTCCTCAGCCTTCTGCAGGGCTCATCCCCAAGCAAAGGCCAGGGCACTGCATCCTGCATGTGGTCCATAAATTGTACCCTTTCAGCTTGGCCACTGAGAACTCAACTTCCAGAAGAGAGAGAGAGAGACCAAGAACTACCAGGAGAGGGGGAAATGTAAAAATGCCTGGGGGAAGGCAGGCCGTGTTCCCCCACCCCCACCCCCCAAAAAACTACCTGTGGTCCTCAGCCATGGGCCTGCTTTGTCCACGTCAAATGCCCCATACATCACATACCCGAGGTAAGGGGAGTGGGTGCTTTGCAGGTACTATGGAAATAACACGCCACCAGGCCACGTGTGCCTTCAATAGGGATGCCAGAGGGCGACTTCCTTATTGGGGACAGCAAATCCAAACCCAGTGACTTGTCATGTGTCTCTCAAAGCATCAGAGAGGAATGAACATTTCAAGGTGCAGCTTGTGAAGAATACCGTATTTTTCCATGTATGACACTCCCATGTATAAGATGGCCCCCACTTTTCCAACCCGAAATTAAGAAATTAATATTTTAGACATAAAAGAGAACACATTTTTATTTAGTAATTACCGCAGGTAATGCTTACATACCAGTACTATGATATTATGCAGCATATCACTTTATTCAGCCTCTGTTGCATCACTGCTCTCTTCTTCATCACTATGAGTTCCAGACATATCAATTTCTTCAAATTCTATTATATCACTGCTGTCTTCTGAGTCACTGTCTATATATGTGAGATCATCCTCATAAACTGGTGGCATTTTCTGAGCTAACTTTATTCATGTTCTCATGGCCAACCCTTCTCTCCTCATGAAAATGAAGTACCATTTTGTCTTTCCTGTAAAATCAACAGTATTCATTTCACTTGCAAACATTCTTGCCTGACATTGAATAAGCTTGGTTGACACACATAAGCCACGCTGGTGCTGCTCCATAATCCAAGTCTTAAGCCTCTGCTCCCATTTTTGCTGCTTTTCCTCTTAAGGCCTTCTCCTCTTTTGGCATCTTAAGGAGTTGTTCTTCCTGTTTTCTCCATTGTCTGATCATATACTCAGTGGGAGGAGGTCCAAATTGTCTCTCTGTAGCTCTAGTTCCATGCTCTTTTGCATAGCTGATTACATTCAGTTTTTAATTTTGTGGAGTAAGACAATCACTTACCGGTATTTCTCTTTTTATTTTTTGACATCTTTATGGGCTCAGAATGTCAGTCCCTGTTGCATCTGCACAACTCTCCACCTCCACCTCCAATTATGGCATCAGCTGACATCAATAACAATAAGGCTCGTGATTAGAGGGAGCCTGTTTGACAAGGTATGGGCAGCTATGTACCCACATAGCTCCCTCCTCAGCTGACTTCCATATATAAGATGCCCCTCGATTTTCAGTCTAACGATTTTATTTTATTTTATTTTAAAAATAATTTTTACATATTTTTATTGATTTCAGAGAGGAAGGGAGAGGGAGAGATAGAAGAAACATCAATGATGAGAGAGAATCATTGATTGGCTGCCTTCTGCACTCCCCACACTGGGGATTGAACCCACAACCCAGGCATGTGCCCTTGACTGGAATCAAACCTGGGACCCTTCAGTTGCAGGCTGACACTTTATCCACTGAGCCAAACTGGCTAGGGCCAGTCTAATGATTTTAGAAAAAAATAGCATCTATACATGGAAAAATACAGTATCTACTGCATCAAGCAAGTGGAGGTTTCCCATCAAGGACAGGTGGTGGAACACTACAAAAAGGCCCCCATCCTCACCAGTGGGCATAGGGAGAAGCTGTACCTCATCGGAGCCCTTCAGTGATGTCCTCCCAGGGCCCTGCCACCTCCAGGTTTTGGTGCCACACTTACAACCCCAGAGCTGAGTGGGTGGCTCCAAGAAGATGATGGTGGGTCACTGGCTCCCCTGTGGTCCCATCTGTCCAGTGGCTCCTCCCCTACTGGGGTCCTTTGCCTGGTTGATGTTTCTGTCCAAGTTCTTTATTTCCAACTTCCTCCCCTTTGCCATCCCAGCCCCTCATTCTAGGGTTCAAGGCCGCCCCTCCCCACTGTGGCCTGTTTTAGATAACAAAAGGTGGAAGAAGGCAAGTTTGTCCGCTTTATTCTTCTCAATTACAAACAGCCATAGACTGTCCAAACAGTTATGCTGTCAGCGCCCCTCAGTAAAGACAGTGGGCCCAGTGGGGATGCACTGAAGCTGGACCTTGAAGTGACCTAGGTGCACTCCAAGGAGAAGGTCCCTGGTCCCAGCAGCCTTTGTTGGGGTCCTTTGCCCACACTTGGCTCTGCGACTGTCCAGGGAGTGAACAAGTTTGCTGGTAGCAATACTGGAGCCACCAGTGAGACAGTAGTGAGGAAGTTGTCCAGTGCCTTTGGGGTCATGTTTGCAACAAAGAAAGAATTTCCTTGAAGTTCAACCTGGAAGACGGACAACTGACTTGGAAAGACAGATGTTTTGGTACTTTACCCCCAAATACACCGTCTGCCTATGCTTTTTCCTCCTGCCCCCACCCCCCCAATCCTGGTTTGTTTAAATTTCCCAATTATGTATTTAATCTCAAAGTAATATGTATCTTGCTCATTTGTAGACACTAATACAAATGATTAAGGAAAACACCTGATCTTGGGGAAGGGTAGGTAATAACATTTAATATATACACACACACACCATATATGTGTGTGTGTATATATATGTATGTATATATGTGTATGTGTGTGTGTGTATATATATATATATATTATGTATACATTTTCTTTACAGGTAAGTGTTTCAATGTTTACAAAAGAATATGTGATTGCTAATAGGAGACATAGAATGTTTATGAAGAAATTGCATTCTTTTCTCTTTACATTTGCACTTCTTTATTTAAATATACAGTCTTGAGATGACACATTCCTACAGTTGAAGAAGGGGTCTTGACACCTCCTAAACCTGCATACTCAGTCTCTGGCTATTGTAATAAAAAATATTATGACAAGACTATGTGTGATTTATCTTTGGTAAACCCCTACTCAATGATGGGACATCAATGACTGAGCCATTACTGAATACTCTGTGCCTAAAGGGAGGAGCTTAACACATTTATTAGTTATGTGTGTTATTTTCTGTCACAACATTTTCATTATATTGAAATAATAAATTTATTGGATGAAACTCCAAGAGGAAACAAGAACAAAAGTATTAAAAATAACTCATGTGAACACACACACACACACACACACATACACACATAACTCATGCAGATTAAAATAATTTGGTAATGGATACACAATACAAAAAATGCAAATTATGACAACAATGGGGGAGTAAAAGGTTAGAATTTTTAGTTGTGATTGAAATTAAGTTGTTATGAGTTTGAAATAGACTGTAATAATTATAAGATATTTTATGTACATCTCATGGCACACACAAAGACAAACCCTTAGCAGATACACAAATGAGAAAGAAAGGAATCATAGCATATCACTATAAAACTCATCAAATCACACACAGCAAGAGAGAAAGAAAGAATAAAAGAATTATATAAAAGCTAGAAAAGCAATGATAAATCCTTCCCTATCAATAATTACTTTGAATAAAAAGCATTACCTTCTCTAATCACAAGATAGAGTGGCTGAATGGATAAAAAATAAAAACAAAGCACAATAAAACCCAAGATCTGACTATATGCTGCCTACAAGAGACTCTCTTTGGCTTTACAAACACACTTAGGCTAAGGGAAAAGGATGGAAAAATATTCAATGCAAATGGAAACCAAAGAGAGCAGGATTAGCTATTATTATGGCAGACAGTGAAGCTTGAGCTTGTAACCATCAGTGGCAGGGCCTGGGGCAGGAGGAGGGAGAGTGGCACAGAAGGAAGGGAAGAGAAAAGGGGACATGGAAACTGGGGGTGGGGTCCTCACAAAGCAAGCAGCAGGGTGGAGGGAGAGATCACTGGGTCTGGGTTCCAGCCCTGGGTGTTTCCAAGTGCTGTGTGAGCGTGGATTTGGATGCTGGGATGAAAAGAGAAAGAGGCAAGGGTGTCGCTGAGATTTCCAGCCCAGGTGACTTCATATGTGGAGGGTGAAATCAGAGAAGTCAGGAGAGGGGACTGGCTTGAGCTGAGGAATAGGCCTACCCTCCTCTTGGGGTTCACCTGGAGAACAGAGTCCTCCTTGGATCTTTCTGGACCACCTAGACCCCAGAGTTATTATGACCCAAGCTGTGCCTGGCCAAGGACCATGTTACACATGGCACCTGGTTGGGTAAGATTCATTGCCTGGCCTGCCTGGGACTTAGTTTACCCATCTGTCAAATCAGAGGTGGGTGTAACCTCAACACTAGAATGTTCCTGAAAGATCATTTCTAGGCCTACTGACCCACCCACACCCAGGCTTCTCCATCTTCTTATGGTGTTTTATTGGCCCAGGTCCTCATGCAGCTCTAGGCTCACCTGGCTGGGAATTCACTTGCTGCCTTGCAGCCCCACTTGGGGCCTCAGGACAGCTCAGCAAGGCTCACATTTCCAACTCTATCCATATGTCTGGCAAGTGTTTCAAATTCTCTCTATGTCTTGGAGGACCCAGAACTCAGGGTCAAAGAATTTCAGCACCGTGGTGGAGTTTTGCTTGGGTGGAATTGGGGAGAAGAGGAATGGGGGCAATTGTGCTGTAGGAAACAGATGAGGAGGTTAATGCTTGTTAGCAGGATGGGCAGGAACTAGGGCATTGAATCTGGGGGTCTTCAATGGAGAAGAACTGTGCTGACATGAGCAGAGCAAGGACCATAGGCCAGGTACAGAAGGTCACCAGGGTGGCCCAGAAATGGGAAAAACTTGGAAAACAAGGCCCTCACCCCCAGGGTAATCTTTCTTCCCCTAGCATATCACTCATCATGGGGTGTGCACCTCCTGATCTTTCATATCTCTGGCCTTGCTGTTCAGACCCCCTGATCTTTCCTCCCAAAAATAAGATCTGGGTGTCAGTTGTATTTCAGCTCCAGGCCCAGAAAGGCAGCAAAACCATCTGTATTGACTAATGACCCTTTGCCCTGGCACAAAGGACCCACTTGGAAAGCTGATGATTATTCTATTGAGATCCTCCCATGGTATCTCCCCTAAAATCTCCATTATTAAAAGCTTTTAGGATAGAGGACCCAGAGCGGTCTCCCTCCTGGGAGCATGCCCATGCCTTTCCGTACCCCTCCCCTTCCCCCGTTACCATTATCTTTACCTTCCTCACTCCCAAGCTCCAAGGGCACTTCCTTTGCTTCTGTAACTTTTTTTTTCTAACATCCTTTTTTTCTAACATCCATTTCTGATACCTCTGTGATTTTCTAAATAAATGTTCTCTTATACTTTGAGTCTTGGCTCTGAATTCTTCCCTAGTCAGAACTCAAGTACTAAGGTTTCTGAAATGAGGTCCAGTCTGACCCCACTGGTCTAACACCTGGTGCTATTCTCACCATTTTGGTCAACAGCATCAGAAAACAAGAGACCGGTCTTAACTAGGAGAGGTCAGGAGGAACCAGTGAACCCACTGCAGCCTGCCCCACCCTCTCATTGGAGAATGGTGCCCTGACACTGCTGGGCAACTGTCCTGATCTGGGCTTCAGGAACTTTGCATCTCTGGTTTTGCCTCTACTTCCCCATATATGTCATGGCTCCTCTCTGTGCCTCATGTCCCCTCACATGAGGCTGAGAGCCTCTGCCACCCACAGCTGTCAGTAGTAATAACATCGCGAAGGCAGCAACAGTAGCAACAGAACAGTTCATTGAGCACTTACTAGGAAGTGGACTCTGGTAGGTGTCTAACATGGATTACCTCTTGACCCTCCTACAGTCCAGGGGGCAGGCTCCTACCCTCTCATTTTACAGATGGAGAGAAGATGCAGAGAGCAGTGAGGCGACTTGCACAGTGTGGTCGTGCCAGGACTGGAACTTGCTTCTTGCCAACTCTCTTCTGTGCTTATAGCACAAGACCAGGCAAGTGGCCTCTTGGGAGGTGGGTGTGAAACCCACACCCTCCTGCGGGTGCCTCCTGAGAGTCAGCCTCTAGTTTCTCTGGCCCTCTGAGTGCTCCCTCCCAGGTGCTGTGAGTATCCATGGGTTGCTGGGAATGCAGTGGTCAGCAACCTGTGGTTCACGAGCCACATGCGGCTCTTTGGCCCCTTGAGTGTGGCTCTTCCTAAGCCTTAGGAATACTCTAATTAACTTAATAACAATATACCTACCAATATAGTTTAAGTTTAAAAAATTTGGCTCTCAAAAGAAATTTCAATCGTTGTACTGTTGATATTTGGCTCTGTTGACTAATGAGTTTGCTGTCCACTGCATTAGGCATTCTTCCCCCACAAGCCTTTTAGCTGAAGTCTAGTTTGAGCCTGGATCCCCCCTTTGACAGGGCAGTCCCCAGAAAAAGGTCTGATGGGGTTCAGTGGATCGTGGGTAGAAAGGAGAGCAACAGAAGGCAGAAGGTATGTTGTCTACTCACCTGACTTCATAGCTGGCTCTTTCTGGGCTCCGGCACACAGCTGGCTCAGGCCCATCTGCTCCCAGGTCTGCAGGGCCAGGTCCCAGGCCTGCTGCTCCCCGTATTGAGCCACCAGTAATGCGGCCACCTCCATGCCACCCACCTTCACTGGTTGCGTTGGGGTCGCCCCAGGAGAGTGCTGGCAGAGATGCTTATCAGGCAGCCGCAGCAGGAAATCCCTCAGCTGCTCCTTGCTCATACCCTCTAACATCCGGGCCAGTGGCTGCTGGACTCCATGGGCTACCTCTGCTGCACTGGCCATGTCTGTTGCACTTGCCATGTCTGCTGCACTCGTCATCTCAGTCCCGACACTGAGGGCCTCAGGTATGTTTACTGGGGAGGAGGTGGGTGGAGAGGGCATTAGGCAGGTAGAGAATAGCAGTCATTCTTGTCCCCTACCATATCCCAATACCAGACTCCCACTGGGGTCATTACTGTTTCCCTGGCAAACTCCTCTTCAGCACTATGAACCCACTTTTGTAATCCTCTTGGTTTCTTCCAATAGATTATGTTGGGAGAAGAGAGGTGAAGGGAAGAGGCAGGAAAAGCCATAAAAGGAGAAGCCCAGAGAAGGCAGAGACATTTGCAGAAGTCAGGCTACTGAGATGCTGAGGTGGGGGCAGTGAGAAGAATGAAGTGGTGGGGATGGGAGGTTGGGATCTTCAGGACACTCACTGTTCTGTGCTCTTCAGTCTTCCCTCCTGTGAGACCTGGAGCTCTGGAGCAACCTTGAGCTTTAATGCTGACAGGAGGTAGGGGAGGGGAGAGGCCAAGCCCAGGGTGGTTTTTTTGATCTCAGGATGGAGCTCAGAGCTGCTCCACCCAGATCTCTTCATATCTCTCCTGGTCCTGGGTAACCAATGGGGAAGAATGGCCACACCCAGCCAGAGCGGGAACAGAGGGTGTAACCAGGGGAAGGGTGGGGTCAGGGCAGGCCTGCAGAGCTTGTACTACTTAGAGCCAGACATCTACAGGCCACATCTACAGTCAGGCCATGGGCATGAGTTCTGGTAGGGCATGTGCTAGTGCATGAGACAGGACAGTAAGCCCAGACAGGTGGAATAGGGAAACTGAGCAGATATCTGAACAAACTGGCAGAGCAACTTACAGCAGACACAGAAGGTCACCTCCCTAGAGATAACACCCAGTTCTCAGTTGTATTTCAGCTCCAGGCCCAGAAAAATAGCAAAACCAGGTAGGTGACACCAGGACAGCTGCAATGACTAAAGACCCCCTGCCCTGGCACTGACCAATCAGTAGAGACCAGGACCCTGAAAGAGCCCACCGAGAAAACTGATGAATACTCTGCTAAAACCCTCCTCTAGAATTCCCACCTGCAAGAGAGAAAAAAACTATTAAGACCAAGGACCCAGCATGTGCTCTCCCTCTGGGGAACACAACCATGTCTTTCCCTTCTCTCCCTTCTTCCCCCACAGACACACACCTCCTAAAGTCTAAAGGACCCCACAAGACTTGCAACCAGGGGAGCCATGGGCAGCAGCAGCTCATCCCAGGCTAACCTCCTGAATCTGTCTCCCTTTTCTCAGACTTCCCAGTGAGCTAAAGCAGCCTTGCCTTGGCTCATTTATTTCCAATAACATTTTTAGAAAACCAAAGCAGCCCAGCCTAGGTCTCCCTGTTGCTTCTTCTATGCTAAGCCCTTCCTTGTTTTACTGTCCCCAGCTATAATTAGCACACCCTCATAGTCACTTAAACTTGTGTTGTGAAAACTTTTCTACAAGAAGTCAAGAACACACATACTGTCCGTCCTTATGCCAACCTGCTCAAGGCTAGGTGCCCTGTCCAATAACATCTGGTGCCCCAGAGGGGACCTTGTTTCCTGAGGCTATAGAGCCCAGCTGGCTCACTTGCTCTGACTAGGATTGTCTTATCATGGTATAGAGTGGCAGGATTCCAGAGGAGCCCACCCAGAACCACCTCGCAGATTCAGACCCATGCTACCCAGCTGGGGCCCTCTGGGCCCTACATGCACCTCATTTTGCATTGGGTGAGTTCCTTTGGAATTCTGGACCTCCCCCTCATCCCTATGTTAAGGTAAGAGGCTCACTTTCTTTGATCTGTTTTTAAGAAAATTTTGTGGTAGAGCTAAAGTTTAAGGGTTGAGAGAACCCAGGCTAAGGTAGGACAGGTGGACGAAAATGAATGGCTGTTTTTTAACTCCTAGCCTCAGCCCTCCTTAATACTTCTGCAGATATACAATAAACAGGAAGCCTTTCCTAGCAAGTATTTACAGAAATGGGAAAATGTAACTAGAAGTGATCAACTTTAAAATGTTAAAATGTAGCTCTTTTGATGCCTAAATCAAATTTTGCATGCAAAAATAGAAAAAGCTGGCTCTAAAATTAAATGGAATGAATGGAAAGCTTATCTTAATTCCAATCTAAAAGCTCCTAGGAAAAGCAAGGTAAATCACACTCACAGTAGAAAACCAGAAAAACCAGTCTCAAGTAGAGGGAAAACAGCAATTGCATACATTCCTTGTGTTACTGGTGCCTGCAGGTAGTGTGTGGGTTCTTGACTTCATGTAGGAAAGATTTCACAATGAGTCCAGATGATTTTGAGAGTATGTCTACTAAAAGTGGGAACAGTGAAACAAAGGAAGGGCTGAATGTAGAAGTGTAACTGGACAATCAATGGGTCCGTGTTGCCTGTCACTACTTGAGCCAATTAAGGAGAGACCAGATTGAATCCTATCTGATTGTTTATTCCAATACTGCCAGCAGCATAGGAGAGTAGCAGGTCATCCACAAAAATCTGCTCTCCACCCCACCATAAGCCAGCTGCTTATTGAGAGACCAGTTGGGAGCCGAAAACCAGGATTACAGGCTTTATTAGGGGAGAGAGACCTGGGGGCTGTCTCGCAATGGGAGGACAGCAACCCATGCAGAAGTAGATACTCCTTTTGAGGGGCAGGATGGGAAGGAACAGGGGCTTAGTGTACTAAGCCACTGATTGGTGGCTTAATGTATGGTCCATATAGAAACAAGGACTTAGGGTATTTGGCAGGTGTTGATTGGTGGTTCAATGTATAGTCCATATAAGGTACATGGTTAGTCACTCAGGCATTTCCAGATGCAGGTATTGTTAGTCACTCAGGATTTCCCGGCTGCAGATTACTTCATACTCCGCCCACCAGTTGGGGGGAGGGAGGATCTATCACTTATATTAGGTAGAAGGACAAACATTACAGGGGGAGTAGGCAAAAAGGGCAAATGGGCAGTTTACAGATATGCAAAAGGGCTGGGGTCTTCAAAGGGCTAGTGATAAAAGCAAAGGGTGGGGGTCCTCAAAGGGCTGGCAGCTCTGGTTTCTGGCTTTGGTTTCTGCTTTCCATGAGAATAGGCAGCTCTCTGATGGGGAGAATGGGCTACATTTCCAGGTGAGTTCCCAGGTCCCACAGGCAACTGCCATCCAGGTTAGAATATGCCTTCGTTTGTGAAGGAAAACCCCTATTCTGTAAAACTACTGTTTGGAATTCTCTGCTATTCTTTGGACGGCCTCTTATTCTGAAAAAGTAACTTTGCTTTCTAGCCTGCTTGAATAGTGGGGGAGATAAACTTAGCTATCTGACCTTGTAGGCCAGAGAATAAATACATCCAATGCCATGCCAGGTGCATTTTTTTAATTGATAGAACTGTATAGTTTTCAAGGCCGCCGCCAGCAAGCACACAAAGGGCTGGCTCTTCTATAAAAAGGGAAGTTCTGCTTGTAGCTTTGCTTAGATTTGGATTCACTTCCCTGAACCCGCCACGGTGAATAAAAGTGTAACTCCAAGCTCTCAGAGCATTGTTTGGTTCTGGTCCGGTTTTTCTGTAACACGTTAATCAGAATAAAACAATCAGGGTTAACAGAACATGATTAATATTTCTTACAATTATAGTTGGTCCCCAATATTCTATCTCTGCCCCTATCAGAAGAAGAAACAAAAGAGAGCCTAGGTGAGGCTGCTTTGGCTCACTGAGACATAGAAGTCACAGTGGCAGAAGTGAGCTCACTGGAAAGTCAGAGAAAAAGGGGGGCCTTGGAGTCGGGTTCAGGAAGTAAGCCCGAGATGAACTGCTGCTGCCCACTGCTTTCCTGGTTGCAGATCTTGCGGGGTGCCTTAGTATTTAGGGGACAGAGAACAGAGATATGAGCTGTGGGCATGCTCCAGCAACAGCATGCCCTAGGTAGAGTATGTTTATAAAAGCTGGGGACAGTGAAATGAAGAAAGTGCTTTGGATAGAAGAAGCAACAGAAGAAAGTGAGAAAAATGGGGGCCCTGGAGACATGTTCAGGGGATAAGCCTGGGACGAGCTGCCACTGCCCACTGCTCTCCTGATTGCAAGTCTCATGAGGACCCTTAGAAAAAAAAAGCAGAGATAGAAGGTGCATGCATGCTCTAGCAAGAGTGCACCATGGGTTCTTTGTCTCGAGGCTTTTTTTCTTTCTTTGGAGGGTCAGAATCCTAGGGGAGGTCAAAGGAAGGGTTTTAACAGAATATTCACTAACTTTTCAGGTGTGTCTTTCAATGTGTTGATTCATTAAAACATAGGTAAGAAGGGTCAGGGGTTATTTTCTATTTTTTTTTTTTTGTAAGGGATTATAAAAGTCTTAGGTCACCTGAATAGCAGATGGACTGAGCCCCAAAATGGTGCCAGCACCCAAAGATGGGAGTCAGAGGTTTTTAAAGGACAATGGCAGGCTGTTTCTGGGTGAAGAATTCTCTGGGCATGTCGGGATTCTGGGAAACTCTAGAGGGGGCAGATAATGGTTTTAGCAAGTGGAATGAGGTTTAAGCAAGTAGAATGCCCACTGTGAAGTGGCCTAAAGGTCAGTTCCCAGGGGAGGAGGAATTGATTCATATTTTTTTTTATTTTAATTAAATCTTTATTGTTCAGATTATTACATTTGTTCCTCTTTTTTCCCCCCCATAACTCCCCTCCTCCCAGTTCCCGTCCCACCCTCCGCCCTCACTCCCCACCCACTGTCCTCATCCATAGGTGCACGATTTTTGTCCAGTCTCTTCCCGCATCTCCCACACCCCTTTCCCCCCAAGAATAGTCAGTCCATTCCCTTTCTATGTCCCTGATTCTATTATAATCACCAGTTCATTCTGTTCATCAGATTATTTATTCACTTGATTCTTAGATTCACTTGTTGATAGATGCATATTTGTTGTTCATAATTTGTATCTTTACCTTTTTCTTCCTCTTCCTCTTCTTAAAGGATACCTTTCAGCATTTCATATAATCCTGGTTTGGTGGTGATGAACTCCTTTAGCTTTTCCTTATCTGTGAAGCTCTTTATCTGACCTTCAATTCTGAATGATAGCTTTGCTGGATAAAGTAATCTTGGTTGTAGGTTCTTGGTATTCATCACTTTGAATATTTCTTGCCACTCCCTTCTGGCCTGCAAAGTTTCTGTTGAGAAATCAGCTGACAGTCGTATGGGTATTCCCTTGTAGGTAACTGAGTTTCTTTCTCTTGCTGTTTTTAAGATTCTCTCTTTGTCTTTTGCTCTTGGCATTTTAATTATGATGTGTCTTGGTGTGGTCCTCTTTGGATTCCTTTTGTTTGGGGTTCTCCGCGCTTCTTGGACCTGTAAGTCCATTTCTTTCACCAGGTGGGGTAAGTTTTCTGTCATTATTTCTTCAAATAGGTTTCCAATATCTTGATCTCTCTCATCTTCTGGCACCCCTATAATTCTGATGTTGGTACGCTTGAAGCTGTCCCAGAGGCTCCTTACACTATTCTCGCATTTTTGGATTCTTTTTTCATTTTGCTTTTCT